CGATGATGTCAAGGGCTGTCAACAAACTTCCTTAATTGCCTAAGTGGTTCTCAGACATTGATGTGCATATGAAACTCTTGGTAATTATACCACAACTATTCTAATTTCTAATTTCTCCACTACAGCCTAACCTCATTTGCCTATTTCCTGGCTAAAACGTATTAGCTCTATGTCCCAGAAGTCTATACTTGTGACAAATATCTTTGATATTTATAATTCAGAGAAATACACACTAAATAACCTAGTCAAATGCAAGTATTTCTGGAAGAATAAAGTAAAGCATTGGATAAATATCACAGTGGTAATTTTCTTTCTTTTTTTTTTTTTTTTTTTCATGAGACGGAGTTTCGCTCTTGTTGCCCGGGCTGGTTCAAGCGATTCTCCTGCCTCAGCCTCCCGAGTAGCTGAGATTACAGTCATGCACCACCACACCCGGCTAACTTTATATTTTTAGTAGAGATCGGGCTTCTCCATATTGGTCAGGCTGGTCTTGAATGCCCACCTCGGCCTCCCAGAGTGCTGGGATTACAGGCATGAGCCACGGCACCCGGCCAGTGGTAACTTCAGAATAAATTAAATGACTTTCAAAATACAGAGCCTTGCCTTGTGCCTGGCTTGCATCATATTTTCCAACAGCTAGGTGGAAGCATATCCTAACACAGAATTAAGTGGATGTGCTCTAACAGGAGGGCAAAGAGAGAGACGGATCCAGAGCTGCTTAATTCCTTGAGAAGAGTGGAGAACTCCATGCAATAAATGCACACAGTCAGTGTACCTCAGGGAATCAGGGGAAAAGAGGTTGGGAATTTAGAAAGTTGAGTATGGAGAACAAAAGCTGTGGAGGCAAAATACACTTGTCACAACTTGTCTTCTAAAAAAGAGGAAGATATATTCACTCTTAGTCAACACAATATGAAGACTGAAAAAAAGAATTAAAAGTGCCATTGTGTTTATGAAAAGAAAAAGAGATGAGAGGCTGGTTAAACTCAAAGTTTAGGTAAAGGATTGTGTGAGAATGTGAAAAGTAGAAAAGGGCAAACCATAGGTCCAATAATTAAATAAGTAAATGTGGTCTTTAAGACCATCAGAATAAGTATTCTATCTCCTCTCCAAACCATATTGTTGAACTTATACCTGTAGATGCGATTCACCAATAGCCTAGCCTATTCACAAGGAACAAAGAACTGTGAGTCTAGGGCTGAATGCTATTTTGCAGAATGTGCTGCAGCCTGTTAATACTTACAGAAGTTATGATTCATTTAGATAGTCTCATGGTCCTCACTATATACGTTTTAACAGTTTTATTAAGGTATAATCTATATTAAAAACTGCACATGCCAAAAAAAAAAAAGAAGAAGAAGAAGAAAAAGAAAACAAAAGAAATACACTGCTATTGTAGAGTTGTTTTCCTTAACTCAAAAGTGTTGGGTCATAAGAAATTTAGAATGCTGTGGTATTTTAGGTGGACTGATGTACTGGAAAAACGGGAGGAGTTCTGACCAGACAAAGAAAAGGTGAATAATACAGTGTTTTAAACTCCATGATTATTCCAGGCTATAGAAATGTAACAACATTATTTTTCTATTAAAAGAAGTAGGTTTGTTCATATCTGTTTATGCTAAGTATTTTTGTTTCTCTAAAAAACACTCCTCACTGAGGTTGGTTCTATTATAGTGCAGAAAATTGGGCAACTAAATGAATCTTCTAATATGTGTAGAAAGAGATAGGTGGAACTAGAATTATGCAAATAAAAAGGTTATTTCACCAATACATTCAGGTTATATTAATTAGCAAATGCACTAAGAGTGTTGGTATGAAAGAAACAGACTTTAGGATATAAATAAGAAAGTAAATTATTTGAACAAAGAAGAAAATTCTACCTTGGTAATAATTGTAAGTATAGCAGCAATTCTAATCTTCTTGACACTGCAGTATGAGCCTTTTAGCTTAATATTGTCTAAACTTTAAAATACTTTTAAAAATTGATTTTTCAAAGAAACTTTTAAAACTCTGCTTTTTAAGAGATAAAAATACAGATAATGTTGTATAAAAGGTACATTAACTCATTGAAAAATTGTTGAACACACGCTATGTGTCAAGCAGAGTCTCCACAGCAGTAAAAGATATAACAGAGAAAGAACAAAGCTCCTATTCATAGTGTTTACTTTTGAGTGACCCTAAAGATCCACTGATCCTAAGAGTATTAGGATATCTTTGAACTTGTTGGATACATCCATGCATATAATCTATATGAATTCCACCTGATTTTTCTGTAAGATAATCCAAAGTCTCTCTTAGAAAAGAAATGAATCTTTAGACACATAGTAGGTGGTTTCAGCCTTGAAAAAGAAAGGAAAACAGAGAGTAAAACAATTGTAGTCTCTAGAAAATGATATATGAGAATCAAATTCTGGAAAAAAGGAAAAAAAAATCCTAAGTTCCTAAGAAGGAAGAGGTCAGGAGAGAGATTACTAGAAACAACCAAGCAAATAACAATAGCATATAAGTAATTATAATATCAAGGTAAAGTAAGAAGTAGTTCAGAGAGGAAAGAAAAACTCTGGAAAAGGTACTAGTGAAATAGCATTTGCAGAACTTTGAATTGAAAATAGTCTGGCCTTTTGTTTAAGAATGTACTGAAAATGACAGTGCAGTTTGAAACAGGTATGTAAATAAGAAGTTTGAACCAGCTGACAGGAATAAGCATTAAAAATATAGCTTACTGTCACTATGTAGACAAATCTGTTTTATTTCTTCACTAAATTTACTAAGAACCCTACATAGGCCAGATATAAGAGAAAATCAGAGTATATGAAATATTGTCTCTAAAGAAGTTTACAGAAACATACAGGAGAAATACAAGTATGATGAAGAGTATAATACAATGTGATATAATCCAACACCAAGTACATAAGTACTTGGAAAAAACACAGAAGCATAATTTCACATTTGCTGTGTGGGTAAATGAACATTTCCTTGAAGAATCAATCCCTAAGTAGAATCCTAAAGACTGATATGCACTAGTCAGTCAAAAGATAAGCCTGTGCAGACAAGAGCATGTAGAAAATTGAAGAGTTGCAAGTAGTCAATGCTAAGGCAACTTGAGCCATGAAGAAGAAAGGTAAGAAGATGGTAAGTGATGAGATCTGAAAATTAAGGAAGGTCCTGCCCATGAAGAGCCTGGCAGTCCACATGAAAGTAATTAACCTGTAACAAGCAACAGGTAACACCAGTAGAACAGAAGACTCAAAGAAGGAGCATAACATGACTTCAAGCATGTGGTAAGTGAGGTGTCTGTGGAACACCCAACTAGTGATGTATACTTAGCAATGCTTTTTACCTGGTCTTTGGCTACATCACATACATGATCATCAAATCAACTGGACTGGGCAAAATCATCCTTGAAGAGTAGAGGGTAAGAAGAATAACAAACAGAAAACAAGAAGCAGGAGGTCTGAAGATTATTGAGAATACCAGTATTTCACAGATGAAGGGAGAAAGAGGAGACTAAAAAGAGAAACCCTAAAAAGACAGATATTGAAAGAATATCAGAATTAGACATGAAGCCTATTTAAAGAATTACTGAACTTTAAAACAAAAATACTATAGCAATTCTAGGCAAGATTAAAAACCTAAATGTGCCCTTAGCTTCAACAGTAATGAAGTCTTTGCAGATTCTTCAGAGGGTGGAGGTGAAAGTGAAGACACAGAGGGTTAAAGTATAAAGTGAGTAGGGGTGAGAGGAGGAGACATTAATGTCTTTTTAATTTTTTTTAATTTTATGGGTACATAGCAAGTGTATATATTTATAGGCTACATGAAATATTTAGATACAGGGATGTAATATGAAATCGGACATGATGGAGAATGAGTTATCCATTCCCTCAAGCATTTATCCTTTGAGTTACAAATAATCCAGTTATATCATTTGTTATTTAAAAATATACAATTAAGTTATTATTGACTACAGTCACCCTATTGTGCTATCAAACAGTAATTCTTATTTATTCTTTCTGTTTTTTTGAACCCGTTAACCATTCCCACCTACCCCTGAACCCCCCACCATACTTCCCAGCCTCTGGTAACCATCCTTCTACTCTCTATGTCTATGAGTTCAACTGATTTGATTTCAGAATAAGTGAGAACACATGATGTCTTTTTAAAGGACCTAAAAATATATTGAAAAAGACACAGCCTAGAAGACTGTATTTAGTGGTGTTAAATGTAGATTTGCTTCTGGAGCTTTGAGGGGAAAAGAATCACAATTAACTGAATATCAAATGAAAGCATATGAGAATATTCATTTTGTAAAAACCTTGAACACAACTTTTTCTCACATTATAGATAAAATAATTGCACATCAACCCATCTACAGGTAGTAGACGGTTGAGAATAAGGAATGCCAGCAGAGAAGAATAAAAAGACCAGGGAAAGGCTCAGGGACAATGATTGTATTTTGTTGTCATTGTTGTGTGCTTGTTTGTTTGCTTTTCAGGAGAAATGCATCTTAATCTTAATACAATCCTCAGATAATAACAACTGAAGAGAATTAACATTATTAATTACCTGGATGTATCTTATATTCAGAGTTTGTCCTGGACAAGGATGTATCTTATATTCAGAGTTTGTCCTGGACAAAGAATTTTTAAGTACCTATAAAATGGCATCATTTCTTTCTAACCCATTTGTAAATCCATTCCATGTAACAAACTACAATCAACTGCATTTGTACATTCTGATGGATAAGGATGATCAAGGAAAAAATTGGACTATTTTACAAAACTTGATTTCTTAAGGAAATATCCACTGCTCATATATGTGAAGTTTAGGAAGGTTGTTGAAACAGTGGCAACACTGATTATTCTATAAAGGGAGAAAATAAACGTAGGCTGGTCGACTTGGCTTCTAGATGCATAGCCTTTTGCTATAGAATTCAAATATCTACTTCCTCATAAACCGTGATTTTTAAACAAGGATTGAGTAGATATCAAAGAACAGTGATGAAAAACTGTACAGTAATAAGAACTTTTATCCTGCTGGGACTGACAGATGACCCACACCTGCAAGTTCTGCTTTTTATCTTTCTATTTCTCACCTACATGTTGAGTGTAACAGGGAACCTGACTATTATCACCCTCACATTGGTGGACCACCACCTTAAAACTCCTATGTACTTCTTTCTCAGAAATTTTTCCTTCTTAGAAGTCTCATTTACTACAGTCTGTATTCCTAGATTCTTGTACAGTATATCAATGGGGGACAATACCATTACCTACAATGCTTGTGCCAGTCAAATATTCTTTGTTATTCTCTTTGGAGCAACACAATTTTTTCTCCTGGCAGCCATGTCCTATGACCGCTATGTGGCCATCTGTAAACCCCTTCATTATATGGTCATCATGAACAACAGGGTGTGTACCTTATTAGTCCTCTGCTGTTGGGTGGCTGGCTTGATGATCATTGTTCCACCACTGAGCTTAGGCCTCCAGCTCGAATTCTGTGGCTCCAATGCCATTGATCATTTTAGCTGTGATGCAGGTCCTCTCCTAAAGATCTCATGCTCAGATACATGGGTAATAGAACAGATAGTTATACTTATGGCTGTATTTGCACTCATTATCACCCTAGTTTGTGTGATTCTGTCCTACTTGTACATAGTCAGAACAATTCTGAGGTTCCCTTCTGTTCGGCAAAGGAAAAAGGCCTTTTCTACCTGTTCATCCCACATGATTGTGGTTTCCATTGCCTATGGAAGCTGCATCTTTGTCTATATCAAGCCCTCTGCAAAAGATGAAGTGGCCATAAATAAAGGAGTTTCAGTTCTTACTACTTCTGTTGCACCCTTGTTGAATCCCTTCATTTATACCTTGAGGAACGAGCAAGTGAAACAAGCTTTCAGTGACTCTGTAAAGAGGATTGCATTTCTCTCAAAGAAGTAGAAGTTGTGATGAATTAGCGTAAAGTGAATGAAGAATACTCCCTAAATGTCATCCTACGGCTTTTAACTTATTTCATTGCTTCCTGACTACAGTTTAGTCATATGAACCTTCTCAATGACATTTAATATTGTATCCTAATCCCATCTTTATCAAAATCCTTATTATTTCAAACCAAGGTCATACATTGTGTTTTCCCTCTTTGTGAAACTAAAAATTACTTTTCCAAAAATAAAGGTTTTTTCCACTTCTGATCTAGTCTTTTCTTCATTCCTCTAAGGAAAAGAAAAGTAAGAATACTTATCAGTATATATATTATCTACAAGTTAATTTATGTAGTAATAAAAAATTCTTTCTCTAATACAAAATTATCAAAATTAATATTATAAATCCAAGAATCAAAACAAAAAATAGAAAACAGCAAGAGACATATATAAAAAATAAATTAAATCAAATAAGGTATTCCAGGCCTATTAGGATAACTGGGAAAGAAGACATCGACAGGAGTTAAAATTAATCTGATTTGAAGAAATGGAAACACCTTCAAAATCTCTGGTAAGACATATTAGCTATTGCTTTATAGTACATAAGAGGAAACTCATGCAAAAGGTATATATTTAATATAAAACAAATGTAAACATAAAATCACTTATTTCGGGTTACAAAATCAGAATGAATGCATAAGAGCAAATTGAAACACCAAAATTTAAGTGCTTATTAAATAAGATAACTATTTACCACAACATAAAGGTAATTAAAGGTTTAAGAAAATATGTAGAATATCCAACCAATATTCTTTTTTACACAGAAAAAAGAAGAAACTAAATGTGTAAAAAAAAATAGAATTATGATCAAACGGAAAATAGAGGAAAATATTCAAAAGTTGAAAAGGTTAGAGCTGAAAGAAATTACTTCCACAGGCTGAAAAGGATGAAGATTAAATTATTATAAGAAAGTTGAAAAAAAATCTCATATTGAATTATAAACTCAGTGATTATTTATTTTAAATATCACAAGTGGGCTTTGACATAGCAATAAAACATTTCTTCAAATTATTTCTATTGACATAATTTTGAAAATAACTGCCACTTTTGAACCATGTCAAACTCTTTGTAAATGTCATAATTAATGTCTTTACACATCCTATAAATACATTTTAAGTGCATCAAAATATAGAAATAAAAAGATTGTGTATACTGGCCAATATATCATAGGTAGGAAATGATGGAGCCTGATTTCTGATTTAAAATCGTGTTCAATCCACTGTATGACTTTTCCTTTGAGGTGGGAGCAGAATGAGAAAAGATGCTCTAACTGGAAGTATATGAGCTCACACAGCTCTCTTTCTCTCTCTTGCTTTCTTTATATAAAATTACAAAGTTAGTTTATCAATGTGTCTACTATTTTTTAAATGGCTTTATTGACTTTAAAGAAAAAAATTAAAATTTTACAATTTTTGGATTTTACAATTATGGACAGATTTTATATACCATAATCTGTCCTATTCTAGTTTAAGTAAGATTTTATGTTTTGATAAGGAGAAAGTAAATGGCATAAAATTGAAGCAATCATCTCCCTGCCAATATTGAAGCATATTTATTATCAACATGACTTCAGGAAGCATTCACTTCAGAGCTCTGGTGTACTGAAATATCTTATGTATCTCATTTCTTATGTATTGTATTACATAAGAAATATCTAAATTAAGAAACCTGCACAAAAGAAAACTCCTCTAAAATATTTCATAATCTAAACCAAAGTGAATGTAACTATTTATATTATATATATATTTGCAAAGGCGGGACTAGATTTTTAAATTAACTCTTTTTTTTAATTAACTTTAAGTTCTAGGGTACATGTGCACATGTGCAGGTTTCTTACATATGTAATTATTGTACCATTTTGGTGTTTGCC